ACGGGGTTCCGGGGAGCCAACATATCTTTGGCGCAGCACACCCCATCTGGCGAAGCCTAGTGGCCTAGGACCTACTCCAGCACATCTGGAACACCAAAGACCTCAGCACAAAAAGAAATCCTATATTCGTGCACTCAAACGAGCTCACCTTCATGGACACACCTGGTACCGTGGGCAGCTCTTCACGGCAGCCACGCTTGGAGTCGAGACCCTTTCACCACTTCTCACTCAGGACACCTCGAGCTCAACACCGACACCGAATGTCACCCCTCCGGCCAAGATTCGGAAAAACCACCTCACTGGATTTTGCTGGAACATTTGCTCACGTAGCAACTACAAGTTTGACGTTCTTCGTCAATGGATGCTCTCTCAACACTTGGACATCATGCTCCTGCAAGATACTCGGTGGGGCTTTAGTGGTGATTGGTCTGACACCAACTATGCCTACATCCACAGCGGCTCCACGGGGAAGCCTGGTGGCACTATGATCATAATCCGGAAGGGGTTCTGCAATCTGGATCGAATCTCATGGCGGGCAGTAGTTCCTGGTCGACTTCTTCATGCCCGACTATACCTTCAATCGACGGGACTGGACATTCTCAGTGTCTACCAGTATGCCTGGATTCAAAATGATCCTACCTGTATCCAACACCGGAAAGAACTCCTTCATGCATGTGATCAATTAGCGGACTTCCTCAAAGGAACGTGATGGTCCTGGGGGGTGACCTGAACACAAGTCTCAACCGTATTCCACACTGCGTTGGTCTCAATGACTTTCAGGACACACATGGCCGGCGCTCCGGACCAAGACATCCAGACTCCGGACTACTTGGCGGCCTCTTGGCTCAGCGCGGTCTCACTGCTATCAACACCTGGGACACTTCACTGGGCCCCACCTACACCGGAGGTCATTCCAACAAATCCAGGATTGACTTTATTTTGGTCCGGCACAAATCCAGCGACTCTCTCACCAAGAAGCCTGTCTACCTGGACCAGCTTCCACAGATGTTTGGGCACTCCAAAGATCATGTTCCCATCCTCTTCACAGTTCCATACAAATGGAGGGCCTGGGCTCGTTCTCCACCAGGAATTCCTCGTGGGCAACAAGATCTCCTTCTTCGGCGCTGGGATCTTCAGAGTGAGGACTGGCACCATCTATGCTCCTCACTTGAGAAAGCCATTGGGGCGCTCTGGACACAACCACCGGATCTTGGGGCTCTCAACCAAGTTATCCTTGAAGGATGCAAAGACTTTGCTCCCAACTCTCGTGGACCTCAAGACCGCCCTCCCACAATTTGGACCTGGGCTGAAGGACATCCTGGCCTTTCCCTTCCGGCAATGCTACCAGGACCCACTTCACCAGCCGGCTTCAACAGCTTTTTGGGCACTGGGCAAAAGCCGTCAAAATTCAAGCGTGGAAACGGACAACCAATCAAAAGGCAAGGAAGCCAAGAAAGCCAAGCTCTCCAACACCATTGAGCAGGCACGGCGGCACTGGGTCAACAACGATTCCCATAAGTACTTCAAGGTGGTCAACACGCTCACGCCCATAGCACGACCTCCTCGTCCTCAACTCCGGCGCCCTGGGGGGGACATCTCATGGCACCAGAGGAGGAACTTGGCTGGATTCAAGAATGCATGGCTGATCTGTATGCAGGAGAGGATCTCATTGGACAGCACTTTCACCTAGAAGAGCTTCCTTTGGAGCTCCGGACTTGGTCCAAGGACTTCAGGGTCTCTGTGGGCGCACCAGCGTTCCCCAACACGTGGCTCCAAGCTTCGTTTGGAAGGCACTGGCCACCTCAGTTGGGCCACTGGTTCACTTTTGGTTGCAACAGTGGATGCACAATGGCACCATTCCACATGAATGGCGGAAAGGCTGGGTGGTACTGCTGCCAAAACCAAACAAACTTGCAGTGGAACCCAAACCTCTTCGACCTATTGCGCTTCAGACTCCACTTTCCAAGACTGTCATGTCCCTCTTTGTTCATGAAGCCAGGAAAACCACCCTTCCTGCCCTGACCTGGTTTCCACAATTCGCCTACCTTCCGGGTCGAGGAACCTGGGAAGCCATTACGCGGGTCCAAGCACATGCTCGAGAGGTTTCTGAGCTTCATCGTCGGTGGAGATATGACGCCAATCAGGTGAATGGGCATGGGATGAAACGTCCCCTAGTGTTTGGAGGGCGTCAACTCTTTCTGGACCTTACAGGAGCTTTTGACGCCATGCCGAGGGAAGACCTTCATGCAGCCTTTTCACTTCTTGGTCTTCCCAAGGAACTTTCCTCTCTTTTGATGCAGTGGCACACTGAAACTTCCTATGTCATTCAATGGAAAGGACTTTCGGCGGAACAAGCCACCTTTCGGGGAGTTCGGCAAGGCTGCAGAGGTGCACCCTTGTTTTGGGCGAGTTTTTCATTGCCCTGGTTCTGCAATTGGTAGCGGCTTCTGCACCTTCTATGCGGATGACGGTCATGCATGCTTTGTTTTTAGAACCTTTGAGGAACTTCAACAAGGCCTTGTTTACTTTGGCAAACTGATTTCTGTCCTTGAAAGATTGGGAATGACGGTGAACATGAAGAAATCCGCAGTCATCCTGCGCTGGGGCGGCAAACAACAAAGCCAAGCCAAGAAACATTATGTGAAAAAGCAGCTGGATCAGACGGTTTTGCTCATACCAAAGGCAGAAGGTGGCTCACACGCCATACCAATCACAGAGAAGCGCGAATATTTGGGAGTTCAAATGGGATACAACAACTTTCAACGAGATACAATGAAAGCTCGTCTTCAAGCTTGCAAAGTTCGTTTCAAGCAGATGCAACGGTGGTTCACGAAGAATGGCATGCACTCGGCTCAGAAGGTGGCTCTTTGGCAGACATGCATTTTTCCAATAGGAGTCTATGGACTGGATGCAACAGGAGTGGACCACACTTCTTTTCCAATGTTCTCCAAGACCATGACGACCATGCTTAGACAAGCGGCTGGAGATCACTCATACATGACTCACAACACTCACATTGAATTTCTGTCAGATCATCACCTTAAACACCCGGCGCTTTTGCTTCGGGAGCGGACGGCCTCTCAACTGAAGAGGCATGAGGACAGAATTCATCAACTTGCGGATCATGACATTCTCCATCTTCTTGATCTCCACACACTGGAGACATCCATCAACCTTGTTGACTCCTGGCTTCAGGACCTTGGCGAATTAAACTTGCAACCGAAGCTCCCACTTGCGGAGGCAGGACTTGATTGGCAGCAATGTGGGCAAACTCTTCAGCATCTCTACACCTTGAGACGTCATGAATTGTTCGTTCATGGGGTTCTTCATGCTGAAGGGCCCGCTCTGGACATAGCTAGGGATGCGGTTGATGGGAAACCTACTTGTCGTCACTGTGGAGAATCCTTCATTAGTTGGCAGAACTTTCGTCATCATGTCCGCTCCTATGCCTGTACTGAATTTGACTCCACCAAGGCACCTCCTGAGCAACTTCAGGCACATCGGCAACGACTGCTGACCTACTTTGATGACTTGCCAATGATAGGGGCCTCTGCTACTTTTTGACCCAGAGGTGCATACTTTGTGGCTTTTGGTCTTCTAGGCTGCAGCAAATGTCAGCACACATGGGGCGCGATCACGGAGATATCTATGCAATGATGGGGAAGTCCTCCCGAATGTAGTCCGAGCCCGCACAAACTCACCTTGTGAACTTTGTGGGCAGGAATTTCGCTCCAAGACCCACACCTGCCCAGTGAAGAAGCAACTTGGCTTGGCTCTGCCTACAGGAAACATATAGGGAGCAATTCCCGGCATGCCCTCCGCCAGTTCCTCAACCTCCTCAACGGATGGATGCACAATTTGCCTGCGCTCAATGCTCACGGAAATTTGTGACTGCAGCCGGTCTTCAACAACACCAGGCCATGGAGCATCCACACTCCACCCTGACCAGGACCTTCATGGCGGCTAGAGATCAGGTACCCGGACTTACCCAATGTACACACTGCAATGCCTCCTTTCTTTGCCTTGCAGCTCTACGTCATCACATTGATGGTCATCTCAGGACTTCATGGAGGCACCTTTGACCACCTGTTGGCCTACAAATCCCTCATCACAAGGTTGGGATACATCTGCGGCCTTTGCGGACATCAGTCCTCCAGCTCTCCTCCTTATTGAAGCGCTTGAGCTCCGCGCACGCCACCTCCTGGACAATGGCGTCCTCCTATGCGGAATGGCTACAGACGGACAGTGCTCTTCGGAATCTGGGCTGTTCATGCCTCAGACCACCGTCTACACCTCATGTCTGCACGGTCTTCACTCAGCTGGCTCTCTTTGTTCATCATGATCTTCACAAATTGAAGGACGCAAGCGATGAGCTCATCCTGGCCCGTGCACTGCGCCTGGACCTTCAAGTGCTCAGCCCTACGCTTGCCCTGAACTTCCCAGATCTGGACAGCTTGCTCACGACTGGCACCTTTGAAGAAATCCTGACGGATGGGCCACTCTGCACAGCTCTTAGCTCCTGGCGCTGCTTATGTGGACGACAAGTGGACCCCAGGGACATGCTGCAACACATTTGGGTTCGTATTTTTTTAAGGTTCCCGGGCCGGGATGTTTGCCTATGGGGTATGCTTCGGGGGTATGCTTCGGGGTATGCTTCGGAGGGTTTGAACACTATAGTACTATATACTTTGCCAGCCACCACATGAACATACATGACCCACCCAAACACAAGCCAGCAAAGCGCTGACCAGAGAACTTGCCAGGGACAGAGTCTACAAGCAGCAGAGCTTATATGCACTCTTGAGCACGATGCAATGATTTCCAGCAAGTGCGTTAGCCCTTAACAGCTACTGCAATATACCTTGGACACACACACACACACCCTCATCGCCAGCAACGACCAAAGGTAAGTAAAGGTTTCACCATGGCCGGTAGGGAGGGCAAGGGGTGTTTTGGTTCCAAACCCCGTCCTGTTCCAGCCACAGCACTCAACTCCCTTTTCATTCTGTGGAGCTAGAGCTGTCAGTCTCATCTGAGCTGGTCGAATCCTCTTTGAGGTTGACAGCAAACACCCTCTTTTGCCTTAGGTATTTGCTTCTGGCGTGGGCTGCTCTTTTTTCTCGCTTCCTCAATTCCACCAAGCGGGAGTCTCTCCGACTCACAGGGCCAATGTCCGCAAACGTTCTCTGCTTGCGCAAGCGTCGCTGGAGCAAGGCGACATTCAAGGGATTTTTTTCTGGCTGCTGTGCACGGAAAGACCTCCGCCACTCATCGGTGCATTTCTGTATGGTGCACTCTGCTCTTCCCACAGTGACCCCAGCTTTACCGGCGCTCTCCCTGTCTGAGAATACATAATTGACAACTCTGACATGCCCTGCTCTGGCCCTCTCTAACAGGAGGCAGTATGTATACTCAATCTGCAATTCGAGGCCAGCGGTGTCAAATTTCTTGCAAAATGTCTTGGACTCGGGCTCAAAAACTTTAATGTAGTAGGCTGGTCCTTTCGGTGGGGGATCCAAAGACATAGTAGCTGCTGCCCCAGTTTCCAAAGCTAGCTTCATGCTAGACAGTGAATCAATGGTAGAGGTCCTAGCAAAGTCCGAAACCCACTTCCTTTGCAATCCAAAGGCCCCATCACATCGGCCCTTGCCATGGTGTTCGGCGAAGAAATGGAGCTGCACCCTGGGAAAAACATCGCGGCACTGCTCCACCAAGTTCCACAGGAACTCATAGCTCCGAAAATGCGGGCCGCAGTCTGCCCAGCAATGGAATTCTTTGACTCCATCTGTTGGCAAGGAGCGCACTAGGTCGTTCCTGAGGGCGCAACCGACAGAAGCACGGCCGGCAACAACAACAAACAACCTGGACACTACTAACCTCGACAAAAAACTTTGGCGCTACTACCTAGGAGCAAGCATTGGCACGCGTAGGCGGAGTCATGGTTCAGGATTTGTGACACATAGTGATAGTTCTCTTTGCAAAGGGCTCGTCCTTTCCAGCGACACACATAGAAGCCAAGCGTTGTCATTGTCTCTCTTGAAGTAGCCCAGAACCAGTCCTGAGCTTCTTCTGGGCCTAGCGGCCATGACATATTTTCCATGAAGTCTAACTGCACCAAAATGCTGTCCTTGCTCAGCTGGTCTTCTAGAAACTCCCGGCGCTGATGCTGCCGATGGACGGTTTGAAAGTGGTGGCTGCAACTCTCAAGAACGTCCAAGTAGTTTGCCATCATGTGGCTGGCCTTGGCTTCCGCCTCCTTCAGCCGCTGTCTGAACGCCACTGTCCCCAAGGGAGTTGCCTTTTGACTCCGCTCATCTGAGGTTTTGTCAAGGAAGAGCTTGAAAAACTTCACGTGCTGCAGGGACAAGCAATCATCAGGGTCTGTGCGGTTCTGCGCCTTCATGCTTTCCCAATGCTTGTCGAACGATTCGAAGTACTTGGCATCCACACTTTCCACTTCACCCCGGGCAGACGCAAGGTCTTTCCGCAAGGCTGGCAGCAAGACTTTGTCATACTTGTGGCAAAAGGTGCAAACATCTGTGCGGCACTTCAGGCGCACAAAGTTTGCATGGTGCGCACGTAAATGCTTATACCACACTGGTCTGCTTAAAAGCGACTGCATGGCAGGACTTCGTGCCCAAAGCCTCCCACGGGAGGATTTCAAATTGTAGACTGGGAGCACTGCCCCTTGGCATTTCATCAATTTGCCAGTCACTGTGGCATTTTGCAGCAGGAAGCTATTGACCTTCTCTTGGATTGTAGGTGAATGAACCTTGCTCTTCCGTCCTTTCTGCTGCTTGACAATATGCTTCCTGACCTTGCCCCAGAGCTTTTTGCGGCATGGAGCAGACAACAATCGCTGGGCTTTTCTGCGACCACCAATGGATGACTGAGCAGCGCCGCAAACCATCACCTCCAGGTCTTGATGACCTTGGCTGCGGGCAGCAACCTCCTGTGCAAAATGTGACATAGCCTTATCGTCCACATGGCTTCTCAAACTGCCCAGCTCTTCTTTCGTAACACTTCGCTGGATGCACCGCACAACAGCATCAGAACCGAGCTTTGAGCGAATCTCCCTCAAGACCTGCGCCAGTCGGTTCCTACAATGTTTCTCTGCAGCTTTTTCATCGCCATCGCTCTTTTTTGGGAGGCATTGAGCTACCGCTACCAACAAAAGCGACTTTGAAACTAAGGATTGGGAGGTGGTGGGAAATGCTGGTTTTCTGGTGTGATTCGGGTATGATTCGGGTATGACTCGAACCACCACTGTTTTTCCTGGAATCTGCTGTCGACAAACAATATACTATACCGTTTCACGTTTCTTTTGGGCAAAAACCTTGCACAACATGGTGACTGGCAAGTTACAGTTACAGATAGACCGATTATCCTACTCCGCCTGTTGAACCGAAGAAGAAGCCGACCACTCCGACGACGGAAAGAAATCGAACGAAGAAGAAGAAGAAGAAGAAGAAGAAGGTCTGCCAGCGCAAGTTCCACCCGATGCAAGAAGCACACCCAATCCCTGTAGTGATCCCCAATAGATAGAAAGGGTTTCCAATACATGTTGTGTGGGGATATACTTTTCTATCTATTTGGGGGTCTCTATATGCAAAAGCAGCTTCAGGATATTGTCTCTTTTCTCTTTCGGACAAACAGTGCTCACCACGTTGCTTCACAAACTGTGCTCACACAGTTCGTCAGAAAAAACCGTCCAGCGCCCCAAACCGGACAGCTTGTACAGCCATGGTTTGCATGGCACAGCTGCTGTTCGTGTGTTCCAGCTACAAATCCTTCTTTCTCAGAGCAGTGGACTCAACCTTCACATGCTCAAGCTGGAGTTTTGAAAACTTGTTCAAGGCAACAACACCTGAAAAGTACTTTCTGGCAAAGCTTTGTATGCGGATGTGACACCAATGGCACTTACTGCCGTGGTGCTTCTTCTTGCTACCGTCTGGTCGCTTGACCAAACCACACACTTGGCAGTCCTCACACTTGCTGTAGGTCAAACCTAATGGGTTTCCAGGCTGACCATCAGCACCATTGCCCTTATCGAGCTTCTTCTTCTTTTTCGGAGAGCCCCAAATGCGCTTCTCCAAGCTCATTGGGGGTGAATCCTGGATGGAGGGCATGGGCACGCAGGTTTGTCGTGGATATGCGCACAGCTAAACCTAGTTTCCTTTACATGGTGGTGAATGTGGTTTCTAAATTATATAACAGTTTGGCGCAAGTCCAACATAATACCCATATGTGACCCAAGGTGAAAAAGCTTGCCTTCGGTTTCTCTTCTGAACTGGCTGCACGCTTCTTTGGTGTTTCCGCATCCATGGGAGTGCTTTGTGTATCCTTTCGTGCTGGAGTTGCAACGCATGGGGAAGCTGGCCCGTCAACCTGCTCCTGGCAAGCGCAAGGTCAAGCGCACTGGGAAATGCACTGTAGAACACTGAAAAACCTTTCTTGTCTTTGTCTTAAACAAAGCTTTGCCCAAACAGCTCCTGTACTGTTGCTGCTGAAGCATCAGCCACAGGTGGTGAAGGTGCAGAAGTGGAACCGTCTGGGAAAGAGTCTTTGTCAAAAGACGTAGGACCTGGAGAAAGAGCTTTGCCGCCAGCATCTTCCGACTGTTCTTCCTCCAAGGATTGGCTGCCAACCAAAAACCAGCAACTTACCTACCAACACATTGAAGAAGCAAACATTTTGCCGATGGTCCTCCTTCAAGGGAACCTCTTCCACTGGAGCCTGGGTAGTCTCAAGAGTGGGCTCAACCTCAAGAGGTGGAGGCACAGCTTTGCTTTCAGGAGAAGTCTCGCTTGTCCCCTCATGCGCTGTCAACATCGTGCTGCTTGCTTGTTCGAAAAGAGCCCCCAAAGTTGAAGTCTGCCCCTCAGACTTGTCCTAGGCATGAAGGCAGCTTCAAGCAGTTTGGGCTTACGCTCCCCTTCAGAAAACCTGAATACAAATTCTTGTTTTTCAAACACATTCAGCTTAGGGCCTCAGGATTGGGCACCGAAGCATATGCTGGAGTTTGGGTGGGGACTACTTGACTGCCTCACGCCCTGTCCTTGGACTTCCTTTTCTTACACATGGCCTTCAAGGAGTCGAGAGTTTCATCTGGGTGCTCCAAACAAAGCTGCAGCAAAGCCTTGGCTTCGCCCTCATTCTGCCTGCTAGCCACACGACGACTTTGTGTCTTCACAGACACCACCCATGTGCTTTGCGGGCCGGTACTAGTGAGCCGCGTTTCCTCCCAAAGGAAAGCCATTTTGAACCAGCAGCTATCACGCTGATGAAAGTAGTTCCAGCACAAAAGTCAACAAAATTCTTCCCGCGGTCTCAAATTAGACGGCAGAGGGTGGTCTGCATGGAATATTCCCACAGTGATCTTGGCCATCTGCTCTAAAACTGTTACACTCTGCTGGTGGAACATCTCACCAAGTGCATGCCCACTGCTCTACTTCCCTTCTTGATCAATGCCCGATAAAGCACCAATTTTGGAGGGTATGCTTCGGGGTATGCTTCGGGGGTATGCTTCGCGGGTATGCTTCGGGGTATGCTTCGCCTAAGTCGAACATCCCCGCGCTACCCAAACTGGACCCCTTAAAAAAATACAAACCCATTTGGAACAATCATGCCAAACATGGAAACAGAGGGGCTCTGTTTTACAAATTTCTGTCCTTCCTTCAAAAGAGACAGCATACATGTTCCATTTGCAACAGTCGCCCTACCGCAGTGCAGTGTCCAGTTCTCCTCGGACATGTGGGGAGCTCTGAACCAATGGGTGAAGATGGAGGTGGACGAGGACAAACAGAGCGCAAAGCGCCCGAGGTCTTCCATGTCGAATGGCGTGAAGGGCCAGGGCAAAGGAAAAGGAAAAAGAGGGCAGGGGAAGAGCCAGAACACCAAGGAAGAGTCCACACCAGATTCAAGGACACTCCTGCAAGCAATGACACGGCTCGTCCTTCGCCACGAAGACACACTCCAATGCCTGGCTATGGAGACGGACTTCTTCGTTTTTTTGAGCGCGGGACCCGGGTCAGTGATTCTGGTCATGATGGCACAGACACAATCATGGCAGCAGACACCACAGGCTCCGGATATTGGTCCAAAATTTTAATCAAAGAGCTGCTGAAGAGGATTCAGAAGCTTCAATCTCCCTTGATCCAGACATTGCAACGCCTGAGCTTTTTGCAGCTAGAGCCAGAGAAGGGAGACTCGTACATGTTTCCACGGATGAAGTGGAACTCCTCCAAGCAAGCGATGGAGGCTCTGGAAGAAGCGCCTCTGACCCTGAACCAGGCGTCCCAGACGGTGACAAGGATGCTCACACTCCTTCAGCGGTCAGCCGGACCAGGGCGATCACAGCTCTGATGGGCTGCAAGAAGACAACACCTCTGAGAGCACCCACGAGCAAGACTACGAAGTCGACTACTTCTGAACTGGCCACGGCTGCTTCGTCCACCACCCCAACGGCACCTGGCGGCCTGCAGCTCTCGGCCAATGAGCCTAGCACGTTTGCCTGAAAAGACACCCTTAGAAAAAAAATACATAAAGAAGCCCTGATCAAGAGGTTTGGAGCTCTTCGTCCCCACCAGCACATACAGAAGGTCATGACCACGGACACGGAGACACCGTCGGCCATCATCCCATGGCGGATCACACTGGCACTGGTTCATCCTCACGCCAACGAGATGAGGGGTCTGTGGCACCAATTGAGTCATTCCGGGCTTTGGCAACTCGTGCTCGGCCGGGAGAATGCGCTCTGCCAGCATTCATCGATCACCACTTGCCCAACACTTGGGCAAAATGCTGGAACAGCTTTGATGGAACCCTCCACTCCACCTCTATGAACACTTCAGAATCCAGCAGCTGCCTGTTACATGAACTCGGCTGTCACTGGACTAGCCTGGAGTGCTCTTCAAGCTGATGGGTTGAAGGCGGACCAATGGTCCAACTTCCCACGTTTTTTGAGGAAGTGGCAGATGTGTCCAAAGGGCAATCAATGCTTTTATGGTCAGATGGGCAGTGGACCTCTCTCCTAGCAAACTGGTCCAATCCTTTTCGACAACATGATGTGGTTGACTTTGCTCACCATCTTCTTCAACAGACCAATCCTTTTTTTCTCAGCTGTTGTTGGGAAAGCCGGCTTGAGGAGGAGGGCGCCATGAAGGTGGTGGACCACAACGCCCAAGGATGCCCTTTGCATCTCTACATCTGCAGTGAACAAAAGAGCACGCTTCCCATCGATTTGCAAGGGCTTGTCTCCACTTGGAGTCTTGCATCCTTCGGGTTACACGCCCTGACTGAACCTGCGGATGTTACATGCCTGCACATCGACCGCTTCGACTCGAGGGGGAGGAAAAGCCACACTCGCCTGACATGGGATTCTAAGGTCTGGTTGCCATTCTTCCTGGGTGAAAAGCTCGAGGTGGACTACATTCCCTTTCAGGTCCTCGGAGTCTCCTACCATCTTGGTGCTGAGGCTTCCAGTGGGCACTTTTGCACTGCCATCAAAGACAGGGACTGGTGGTGGGTCTATGACGACTCCCATGATCCGGTCAAATTCTCACACTTCCTCTGGTGGGTCAGGAGAACAGCTGTCTACTCTGGCTGAACTGCACTCCTCACGGGGGGGGCGGAAGAAGTCTCACTGTTGGAAGATGAGTCCCCCATCCTGACCGAGCAGGAGAAAGTGAATAACATCATTCACGACCCTGCCATCAACGACAACTGGCATGGAGCCTGGCTGCACAGCCTTGATCTTTTGGACACCCAAATCCTTGTGGACAACCCCAGCCTATGCCATCGGCTTGTGAAGAAATGCATCATTTGTGGCAGTTGGCCACGGGAAATGAATGGACATCTACAGGTGGCTCATCGAGCCCGGTGGAATGATGCAGGTCCTTTGGCTGAGAAGTGTGCAGTGAGCTTCATTTCACGAGCACACCCAACGAGGTGGTGCGCCTGCCAGCCTTTTTATGGCACAGGTCTGAACGAAGACCATAGCTGCCCTTGTTTGCGGCAGTTCACAATACTGCATCTGATGTTGAGGTCCCATCAAAAGGAAGCAGCTAGAGCATCGACGTTGGCTCGGCTGCTGGACCAAAACTTTAGCTGAGGATAAGGCCCTCCGGGGCTCCAGATGGACCACCTGGGTCCACGCGATCTTCGACAGAAGAGCGTATGAAAGAAAAAGATGATGATGATGATGATGATGATGATGATGATGATGATGATGATGA